GTGAAGATGAGTATGAAGCTCTCTTTGAACAGACAAACACTCCTCGACAAGATACAGGCCTCAGTCCAAGCCAAATGATGATCTTCAGACAAACACGAACGCTACCACCTTCTCTACAAACATGCAGAGCTAGAGATGCCAGTGATGAAATAAGGCTGAAGCGAGAGAAGACAGCAAAACGTCCGCAAATACTACAAGTCAGACTGTGATCTTCCTCAGCTGTCAGTGAGTAAAATGTTTTCATGTGGGTACTCGGAAAGTGCTGGGGCGTCTAGAAAATGATGCTTACAGAATTCAAGCACAGAATGGTGCCGTGTTCAAAAGTTACTGACAGTGAAACGCTGGGTCAACCTTTGTGATAGCTTAGCTTATGGTAAACTGTTGAGTGACGAACGTTTAACTTTACGAACGCTTTGTGGATCGGGACCCTGCACCACCTTAGGACGTAGATTGCGAACCCTTCTATTTCACTGGTATTTTAGAAGTTGATGAATAATGATATTGTGTTACCGACAACTGGCGAAAAATTGCTCTGTGACGTCAGACTGTTGCTACATGCGTAACAAGTCGCCATTTCCCTAACATCCCAGAAGACTCGACCATTATTGGCATGAGTATATTTTCAGAAAGGCTACTGGCACTGGCGGAGGTGGCTTAGAGAGGCCTCGACCTGACTACTAACACTGCAATAGAGCAGCAGCTTGTCGTTGGTTTATGTAAAATCATATTTACTCACTCACTTCTTTGTTTAAGGATTTAGGTATAAACATTATATAAAGCTTATGTTCTATTATAAAAGGACAAGGAAGAGGGCATATTTTGACATAACAACATAAATGAGTGGGTGAGTGAGTGAGTTTAGTTTTACACCGCACTTAGCAATATTCCAGCTATATGGCAGCGGTCTGTAAATAATCGAGTCTGGGCCAGATTATCCAGTGATCAACAGCATGAGCATCGATCTGCGCAATTAACAACATATATGCGATTCAGTGATCATATACCTTTAAGGTATGGCGTACCCTGACAAACTTTTACCAAAGACAGAAGACGTTTGGAAATCAACGAGAACAAGTCCCAGACCAATGCCTTGACTTCAAATAGATTTGCCCTAAATACATTTCCTAGATGCACAGCAGGAATCTCCTGTTCAAATAGACGAAGGTATGTCTGGATAGACATGGTGCCTGAGCAAGTAAAAGCTGTCAATATTATGGAGGCATAAGGTCTGTGTAGAACTGAACTGGGGGTTGGGGTGGGGGGTGAATATCATGGACGATATAGTGTATTTTTTATCTGATCACAATGCCAACTGTGGATACCAAAACTAACTACAGAGTTTTGTCATTAAGCAATACCATGACGACAATAGACAATGGGCACAGACAAGTTAAGACTTGGGATTCCATCAAGTAAAAGTACTGTTAGCTATTTTAAGATATATAAACATCTGTATGAGCACAGAAATCATTGTTTTCCCTTTCAACAAAAAGTAATAAGGAAACAGAAAACGTCAATTCAAGAAACAGAAATTCCCTCATACACGTTTGCAAAAGTAGGATTAGACTTGTATGAAGTCTATCTCAGATCTCTATCATGAAACAGATTCATCATCAGTTTGATTGGTCATTATATTTGATCAATGGCGAGAGGTGTTTGCAGTGCCTGACAAAAGTGCAGAAAATATAGTGCACCTTCTAACTGAAAATATCATTCCCAGATTTGTGATGATAGATCTATATTAGAATCAAGCATTGGTTGCAGTTCCCTTCAATATTAGCGACTTTTCCAGATCTCTACATATTTTTACTATGCAATAGGGGTGTTGTGTTTCCAATAGATGACATAGGCTAATTTAGGCACAGCATAGGGTAGCCTTACAGCAACAACACACGTTTCCACGTTGGCTAGGACATTTAATGAGGTCAAAGCATAGGAGGAAACAGGAGGAGGAGGCTGCGAAACATGTTGAAATTAAGATAACACATCCTGTCATCCTCGGCGACAAAGCAAGCTTCAATTTAAATGGTTTCCGTACTACCAGTAGTGGAACAAATGTCCCCCTTTTACTTTCGCAATCTGAAATCTATTTAGGGGGCGGTGGGATAGCCTAATGGTTAAAGCGTTTGCTCGTCGCGCTGAAAACCCAGGTTCGATTCCCCACATGGGCACAATGTGTGAAGCCCATTTCTGGAGTACCCCGTCGTGGCATTGTTGGAATATTGCTAAAAGCGGCATAACATTATACTCACTAACTCACTGAAATCTATTTACATGGCTCTAAAATTGTATCCCAGGAAGGGAATTTAAGATTATGAAGTGTTTTTACACAATGCATGACTTTGTTTAGAAAGCTAAGTTGAAATATTGGACAAAGAGCCGTCCCCGCCAATCCCATACAAATCCTATATAAGTAAGAGTGACCTCAGCAGTGAAGAACATAGTGACAGACTGGAAGACATGTACAGAGTAATGATGGAGGTCAATGTTTTTGACAGCCAAAAACTAAGCTAAACGTGAAAACGGATAGTAAGGAAGACGACAACGCAGAAATCTAACGAGTGTTAGATTGAGTGAGTGAGTTAAGGTTTACGCCGCACTCAGCAATATCCCAGCTATATGGCGGCGGTCTGTAAATAATCGAGTCTGGACCAGATAATCCAGTGATCAACAGCATGAGCATCGATCTGCGCAATTTGGAACCCGATGACATGTGTCAACCAAGTCAGCGAGCCTGACCGGCCGATCCTGTTAGTCGCCTCTTACGACAAGCACAGTCGCCTTTTGTGGCAAGCATGGGTTGCTGAAGACCTATTCTACCCCGGATCTCCACGGGTCAACGAGTGTTAGAGGCATTCTGAAACCTACTGTAGTAATGAATCATCCTGGGTATGGGATGAACTGAACGAGGAAACAAGGTGGTTGTTATGTTGTTGGTGTTTCACAGACTGATGACAACAACGAAAATCCATTTTCTTCTCGGGTTAACCATTGTTAACTCGATGCATTGAACATGTAGTATTCAGGAAAATAGAGGACATTTCAGTAATGAGGTCACATTGGCTGGTAAAGTTTGTCATTGACCCAGAATTTTATCAACGACTTATTGACAAAAAGGAGACAGATACCGAGAATGTTTCAGGAGTTACGAATAGTATAATAAATCGCAATCATACTCAACAAATAATATGATTTTGTGTTATTCAGCAGCCTGGCCAGTGATGTTTTATCGCGAATGACTACAAGGTAAAACTAAAAGACTGTCCGACTTTAAGCAACGGCAGATTCAGGCGGTCTCAACATAGGCATAAAGTTTTCTATTTGGCACAGTCTAGGCAGATGACCTTGAAGTAATAACATAAAAAAGTTTAACCAATTATGTAAGAAAGCTGATGTTGATGAAGGCGTTCTCTCCATATAGAACACCTCCAGGGTTCAGGTCACGGAAAATACATATATGATCAATGAATTGACAGTTGACTTATGGCAGGAATTCCTTACTGTTAAAAGAGACATTAGAAGACTTGATGTTTACATTCAGAAAACAATGTTTGGTCTGCAACATCTACAGATACAGTTAAACATTCTCGCTGTATGAAGGCCATTCTCTTCGTACAGCGGTCACTCAAGTCATAACTTCCCACGTACCTCTAATCTAATACGGCCCTTACATGGTGAGAGTGATCAGGATTCGTGATTGTTTGCAATTGGATTTAGTTGTGCAATCAGTGACGTTGTTTCAAAAGTGATCATTCGTAAAGCCTTGATAATGTCCGTATGCTTCGGGAAACCTAGAACCTCTTCTTCTAGACAGAACTTAGTCAGTAGTGGCGGATCAATGGCGTCTCTATCACCCTCGTTGACAACGGACAGGCTAGCCATTAATGTCTTGTATGGCAACACATTGGGATATGTACTGTTTTTATAGGTTATCTTGTGACTTTATTTTATTTAAACAAAGCGTGTTGAAATGGTCGACGAAACGCTACCAAGCAGTTGTTGGTGTTCTAATTGCACGAAAACTGCAAAAAGCAGAACATGTTCGGGAAAATGCAATTGGCCAGCAATGTTCACAGAAGAAGGCGAGACAACATAACGCTTATCATATCCAGTCAATGATAGGTGCAGCAGTAATACAAACACCTCTGTACATCAGTTCACAACTGCATCATGCCACGCCTCGGGGGAAAATGACAGATGGAGAGGTACAACTGCAGCAAAGACATCAATAACTGCAAACGTGAATGCTGTAAGAACCAAAGATAAGATTTTGCAAATGGCCGCTTTACCGTTTTTTGCACCCTGGGATGATAACGCCAGAACACATTTTGTACGAGTTGTACAGCAATATCGTAATCAGAGCAATGTGTTACTCTGGACTGAACGATGCCCTGATTTGTCACCTACTGAACGCATCTGGAGCGACATCTATGCTGTGGGAGCACCAAATCCTTCTACCAATAATGAATGATCTTCTCTAGGACTTTCATCAACGTTTGTCACCCGTAAAGATACTGGTTAGAATTTTTAGCAACCCATACTTGTCGTAAGAGGCATCAGGTGGTCAGGCTCCCTGACTTGGTTGACACATAAGGTGACAGGCCTGTATCAACGCGCATGTTCGACATAGACATGTGAACGTGATTGTGAATCCGCTTATGTTGTGGCTTACTTGAATATGTCACTTTAAACACTTGTCTTTCCATCTCATAACATTGCATTTGCATCATTTACAGTTTAATTTTGAATCTGTTGTTGTTTGAGTGTCACAATAACTTTTGCCTTTCAGTATATGTTAATCAAGCTTAAAACATTACATGCTTCAGTAAAGCTTTTCAAAAGGTTTGACTCGTGAAATTTGTTCCTTCTTTGGCAGTAAATAAGATCCTATAATTCTCTGGAATTGATGTGTTTTATGTACAACATATGTTTCTATAGCTGTTGGTGTGTTAATCCTCGGCTTTACACGATGTCTGATCCACTTGTACGTATGGTTTCAGGGTCTACCTTCCCGAAAGAGGAGTGACATATCTCACAGAGAAGGTTATGCGTTATGGAACAATCTTTGTGCCTTCGTTGTGTGCTCATCCAAAGAAATCACGCATATATCTAAAGCACGCTCACAAAGTTTACAATTTAGGAGATGAGGTTGAAGTGCAAATAGATCTGTATGATATGCTTGGTAACCGCAAGATGATGGGAGGTGATTTCTTGAGAGTTTGGATGGAGAACCCAAAGAGAGCAGCTTCGGTTTCCGGTCGGGTGGCGGACCTCTATAATGGAAGTTATACTGCTCTGCTTAAAGCTGTATGGCCAGGAAATGCAACAATCAAGGCATTCATTGCTACGAGAAGAGAGGAGATCGTTCTTGACTATATGATATTCCAAAAGCATTACAGTCTCTGGACGATTTTTGCTGAATTTCGGACAAACAATCTCAAAGATGCAACAAAGTGCTCAATTAGCCAAGGAAATTCCTTAAAGACGAACGAATGGTGTAATTTCACGAATGAGAATAATGGATACAGTTACTACTGCAGGAAATCCAAAATCAAACAGTTAACGTGTGATAGATGGTCGCATTCATATAGTGCAAACGGAATTGCTGCTCCACTTAATACCACAGAGAGGAACATTCTTGGTTTGTATGTATTTTTAAAACAATAAATGGTTGGGTATCTGACGATCAGTTTTTCTAATAACGTGATGTGTTGGTTAGGTGCAAAGGCTACGACATTTCGTGTTTTCACAAAACACCGAATATGACAAACGGTCGAAATTACCCAAAAATCGTTAAAGGAAGGAGAATCATCTTTTGTAACTTTCGAAAAGGTACTACCATTAATAATTCTATAAAATTTTGAACATGTTAAACATGTGGTTGTCTTTTACACAACTTAACTTTATTCCAGTTATTCTATTTCCTTTGTTTAAATTGCAGGTCTGTGATAGATCCAAAACTCGATATTTTACAGACTTCAGTGAAGGTGTCTGTGAGAAGAGGTAGGTATGTGTAAGCCCGTAGTGTTGACAGGAAGGATGCAACCTGTCACTCACTGGACAAATCATCCACCCATAGTGTTGACAGGAAGGATGCAATATGTTACTCACTGGACAAATTGTCCACCCATAGTGTTGACAGGAAGGATGCAATCTGTCACTCACTGGACAAACCGTCCATCCACAGTGTTTCCATAGTGTTGACAGGAAGGATGCAATCTGTCACTCACTGGACAAATCATCCACCCATAGTGTTGACAGGAAGGATGCAATATGTTACTCACTGGGCAAATTGTCCACCCATAGTGCTGACAGGAAGGATGCAATCTGCCACTCACTGGAGAAATCGTCCACCCATAGTGTTGACAGGAAGGATGCAGTCTGTCACTCACTGGGCAAACCGTCGATCCACAGTGTTTCCATAGTGTTGACAGGAAGGATCTGTCAATCTGTCACTCCCTGGACAAATCGTCCACCCATAGTGTTGACACAGAAGGAAGGATGCAATCTTTCACTCACTGGACAAATCGTCCACCACATAGTGTTGACACAAAGGATGCAATCTGTCACTCACTGGGCAAATCGTTCACCCATAGTGTTGACAGGAAGGATGCAATATGTCACTCACTGGACAGGAAGGAAATCGTGTAAACCCATAGTGTTGACAGGAAGGATGCAATCTGCCACTCACAGGAAGGATGGACAAATCGTCCACCCATCCTGACCCAAAGATGCAATGTATCACTTGACAAATCGTCCACCCATAGGATTGCAATCTGTCACACTGTCACTGGACAAATCATCCACCCATAGTGTTGACAGGAAGGATGCAATCTTTCACTCACTGGACAAATCGTCCACCCATAGTGTTGACAAGAAGGGTGTAATCTGTCACTCACTGGACAAATCGTCCATGCCATAGTGTTGACAGGAAGGATGCAATCAACTCACTGGACAAATCACCACACATAGGGCAAGAAGGATGCAATCCGTCACTCACTCCATCCATAGTGTTGACAGGAAAATCGGATGCAATCTGTCACAGGACTGGACAATCTGTCACTCCACCCACCCATAGTGTTGACAGGAAGGATGCAATCTGTCACTGGAGAAATCATCCACCCATAGTGTTGACAGGAAGGATGCAATCTGTCACTCCCTGGGCAAATCGTCCACCCATAGTGTTGACAGGGGAGGATGCAATGTGTCACTGGACAAATCGTCCACCCATAGTGCTGACAGTAAAGATGCAATGTATCACTTTGACAAATCGTCCACCCATAGATTGCATCCTTCCTGTCAACACTGTCACTCACTTGACAAATCGTCCACCCATAGTGTTGACAGGAAACATGCAGTCTGTCACTCACTGGAGAGTTGTGCATGATTAGAATCGAAAACGTGTCCTCAGCATTACAAGCTAACGCTTTAACCACTAGGCCACCTCACCATCACCTGTAGCCAAAGTACAAGAGATGTTAAAATGATGATTGCACTGGACAAGTAGCGTCAAAGAGACAATAAGGTCACATATATTGCTTTGATTTCCGATATTATTAGAATTGAATCAGTTGTCTGACCTTGCTTTCACTTATCAAAAGACCAATCATAGCGTCTCCTTCGAGCTTGTTTCTAATCATACAACGTTAAACTGGGTCATTACTGGCTATTCCGAACGACAGTTACAGGCTGTGCCTCAGATTATAAATATTGTCTAATCATTTGCCTGAACAACATTTCAATGGTATAGCCTTTGCATAAACCAGGGAAAGTGCTGCTATACACATTCGGCCATCTAGACATTCCTAAATGTTACTTTGTTCAGGTTTCATATTTCGAATCGAAAACTTTGTCAAAATGTCTCTCAAAGTGAAGTATGGAATGGAAGTCGTCAGTGTGGAACTTGTGCGGTATTGATAGAGAAAGTTCGTTCAGTCTGGCTACTGTGGACTTCTCATTGGTCTGTCAAAGTTCGCGAAAAGTCATACACTGTAATAGCGATTGCTCTTGTCATTGTTTGCCGATAACAAGAACTAAGATCTGATTTGTATGGGGCTATGCGACAATTGTTACTAACTGTTCCTCATCACGCAAAACACTGCCTACAGACAAACAATTTTCGCCACGCGTAATTTGATCCTGGGGCACTTTTGGGGTATGTATATCCTTCTGATTACCAACAGTACACGCACGAAGATATATGTATGTATCCATATTTGAATTCACCCTGAGACCATTTTTCTTTACCAGCTTCTAATGATATGGAACTGCCGGCCCCTAGAACTCCCTGCAACAAGTTACCAACGGTAATGACATGGCAACGTACGTCTCCAAATGGCTACTTTCTCCAGAATAAATGGCATTCGCTGTTGTGTACTAACACTTTGCCCCGCACCACTGATGCCTACAGACGATGCTTGAAAGGAAGGACGCTCTGGCTTCATGGGGATTCAACCAGTAATCAGTTTAAACGTTCTCTTCATTCAATTTTACACTTTCCATCCCATACCGACGCGCATGTACCGACTACAGACACAGATGTTACACACAATTTTTCAATTTCCTGGCACGCTCATGAACTACCGTTCTATAATGGAGCTCGACGCTATGACAGGTCAACACACCAGGGACAGAACGTCATGATGGACCGTCTCCCGAACACAACCAAGGACATCGTAGTGTTGTATATGTACGTTCATTTCACGCTTGTCCATCCGGATGTGTTCAGGCGACATGTTCAGAGACTTGTTCAATCAGTAAAGAACCTCTTGGCACGCGCTCCTAATGTTACCCTTGCAGTTCGCGGTCCACATGCGTTTTTCAGACCTAAGCACCGTGCGTTATCCTACTGGGGTCTTCTGTACAGTAATATTTGGCATGAGGCATTTGCTTCACTGCAACACGAGATTGTTTATCTAGATTTCTGGGACTTGACTATGGCTAAACCATCCCGGGATTTCCACCCAGCAGAGGACACAGTGAAAGAAATGGTGCACACCATGATGTCACTTCTGTGCTTTAGAAAGTGAAAGAGTCATGTCATGTGGAGAAATCCTCTGTTGTCTGAATTGTAACCGTGAAGGTTGTCTCTCCACAAATGTTCCGATTTTTCAGGGTATATACTGCATGGTATATTGTAATGTTGCTTGTATGATGGTAGTATGGTGATAGTTAAGTCAGTCATGGATTATTCTTAGCAGCACATGAAATGCTTCATTGTAGAATATCATTCATAGACAGATACTATTCTCCTCACACAAAGTTAAGCAACACACATTTTTAGTCTCATTACATTTTCATTTATTGAAATTGCAAATCATGTAATGATGCAATAGAAAGGTGAAACATATGTATACACGATTAACAAAATGAAATGAAATGGTATTAAGCAATAATAGACTTACAAATCATCAAAAGCATGTACCCGTGAAACAGTCGTGCAAAATCTGCTGCATTGATGGAGCAAAATGTTAACATTAAGGTTCAAGTCAGTTTTCGACAGTGAAGCAGAGTTCAGTAAAGCGAATGACCACCATGAGCACAAATGCAAGCTTCTACATGTGTTTGCATTAACCAAATGAGCCTTTAAAGTTGCTTTTGTGGAATGTTCTGCCATTCTCTCTGTAACGCTGCTCAAGGTCATCCAGAGTCTGGGGTTGAACATGGAGACCGTAAACACGACTTCCAATAATGTCCCAAGCATGTTCAATAGGATTCAGATCAAATGACCTTGCAGGCCAGTCCATATGTGTGATGTTGTTGATCTAAGCAACATCGTTAACAACTCTTTCTCAGGCATTATCATCCATGGACGGGCATTATCATCCATAAAAATGAAGTTAGGACCCGCTTGTTGTACCAGAGGAATGATTACAGGTAGGTTTACACCGATCAGGTGCATGTGTGAAGAGTGGAGCACGTTCATGCCACACATTTTACATGTTTCTGAGGGTGGTTGTGTTCGGGCGATGTTGTCAATGATATCCGATAAATCAATTTGACAGTCACTAAAGGTTATGTATTCTTTGAATATTTACCTTTCAGTAACATGTCAGCAAAATTCCCTTTCGAGATTGATAAAGATATAACACTGAAAATACTTGTTGCTTAAATTTGTGTGAGGAGTATATTAACTAACAGTAACACGTTGGGACTACTTAGCTGGTTTAGTTAGTGTTACTATAGTTATATTACAATTAGTTTTTATTTAAGTAAAGTTATTGTGGTTTGAATAAGGGAATGAATAAACTTTTAAAACTATAGTTGTTGTTACTTTAGAATTTGAATCCCATGAAAATCAGATGTTAGTTCATGCTACCTCTGAACACAGATCTAAGGACACCCTCTTAGGTTCACACCAGTGTGGCATTGTGTGGACTTTGACAGATATTCACCAATTGGTCATTTGCCAGTTCACTTCTTAAGCGGGCTTGCTTGAAGAGCGATTTACAGCAGTACGAGTGCACCACGTGACTCAGTATTCGTGCTGCTGTCAGTCGCTCTTCAATGTGCTTCGCCGGGTGGCCCTCGAGTTCACTTCTTAAGCGGGCTTGCTTGAAGAGCGATTTACAGCAGTACGAGTACACCACGGGACTCAGTATTCGTGCTGCTGTCAGTCGCTCTTCAATGTGCTTCGCCGGTAGGCCCTCGAGGACCGAAACTTTATGACTGCTCCGTACTCAAGCTTATCCATTTCTGCCGTTACAATAGGGGTAGACGTGACCGGAAACTAGCGACATGTGAATGTCAGTTTTACGCTTATGTGAATGATGTAAAGCATTCTTCAATATCATACAGCTGTTTTTTTCATGCACGTATATAAAGTATTTTAGGCTAAAAACGTTTTTGAAAGACCTTCGTATAAGGTCTATTGACATGACATTATCCAAGGATTTGTTTGTTTGTTGTTTAACGCCACACTCAGCAATATCCCAGCTGTATGGCGACGGTATGTAAATAATCGAATATGCACCAGGCAACCCAGTATTGTAACATCATGAGCATCGATCAATCTACTCAGTTGGGATACGATGACATTTGTCAACGATTAATACGTTTTCTAAAATATCAAACTAAATGCGAATATTGTCTCAAAGTATATTTCGGTCCTTCTTGAATACAGTAGCCCAGTTTCACGTCGCGCTCAGTTGCCATCAAACTATCACTATCTGTGACTCCCTCTACTTGGGTCGTACCATGGATGGACATCTGAATTTAAACCTCTCGACGTTACTGAGTAAGGTTGAAGGGGTCGTTGTCGGCATGGGTACTACAGGTATGAGCAGCAACAGGTTAAGCAACGTTGGGCTCGGACAGCCCTTGGATGGGTGACCGTGTTTGCAGCTTGACTCCTGAGAGTTTCTAGGACTTCAGTCCTGCCCCACAACGAAGCGCATGTGATGCATGTGGTCTCACCTTAGGCAAGTGAGTTTGTTCAAAATTGCCTCTGTTCACCCAGCAGAAAGTGGGTACCCGGTTGGGTAAAGTCATGTGACTATAACCTTCTAGCGCCTAACAGGCAGCTTGGGTTATCCGGGGTAATAATAATAAGGGTGTTAGCGCTTAGAGCATGCTTTGTTGCGTGGAGATTAGCGCATTATAAGACTTCTCATTATTATTATTATTATTATTATTATTATTATGAGTTCGGAAAACCTCCACTCCAAAAACAACTGGAGTCTGTGACTATTTGAAACGGCATTTTGCTTGTCTGACACTCAGTTCTGTACCGTCCAGCAGGACACAACCATCAACAAAATTAACAGTGATATTGTGATTCTGTCCAACATACTTCACTCTTCTAAGATAACTGTGAACTGCCTTGTTTTCATCCTGAATTTGACATGCTTCACAAGAGGATCATCAGACAAAAAGATCTACGCAAACGTTTGCAATAATGATCTGTCACTGAGAGATTCCACTTTCATCAAACAAAGTCATCCCATTAAAATTGATAAATATACTAAAGGAAAAAAGTAACTGGGCATGACATAAAATTGCATAAAATGTAAGTTGTTTGAAAAAGCTATCACAATAACCTTAAATAAACATGTATCAAAGCAATTTGCAGGAAATGAGATGTCACTTTGTGCGCAATGAGTTTCATACACTTGTTAATGAAAATTGAAGAACGGTTGATTATTCTCTAGCCTCTGAATGTTGTGGGAAAACACGGTAATTTCAACCTAAACTGCGTGAACGTCATGCCACGACGTACATAAAGTCAGCGTCTGACATTCCAGGAGATTGGAATAGTCCCAAATGATGTGGTCAAACATTCTGTGTCCTTCGAGACACTATCTCGTCTACGTGGAGACGTTTTCAACATAATGAGAACGTGAGAGATGTGCCTCTAAGGACCGGCCGTCCACGCGTGACATCACGTCAGCAAGACAACAACATTCGGCTGACCCGTCTAAGGAATCAATTCCAGACTGCCAGTTCGACTGCTCGGACCATTCTTGGCTTATGTCCAATCAGTTCAAGGGCTGTACGGAACCGACTGAGGGAGCACAACATCCGGCCACGTGGCCCGCAATACGTCCAATTTTGCTCCCACGTCACCGACAGGCACGCCTTGACTGGTGCAGACAGCGTCTACGGTACAGGAGACAAGATTGGTATCGTGATCTGTTCACAGATGAGTCGAGTTTTCATCTGGACAGATCAAATATAAAGGCAAGGGTGTACAGACGGCGAGGTGAACGGTATGTTGACGCGTCCGTTGTTCAACGTCGACAGTTTGGTGGCGAGAGCGTTATGGTCTAGAAGCCAGATCCCCCAAATAGTGAAAATGTGGTGCAGTTCTGGCGACCGAATGGAATGTGATTTTTCACAATCAGGAATGATTTGGCTTTGATTTAAAGCCGGTTGTCATCAGCTACGGTGCGTGACTACAGTACAGAGGCCCTTTTAAGGTGCAACATGTCATGTCAGTTATGGCAATATTTTAACCGATAACTGGATGGTTTAATTTAATAACTCTGGTTTGGTTTGACCGATTTTCATAACAAAAATAGTTTTTAATGATCAGACCATGATTTAAAATTGTGGACAATAATATTACATATATGCTCATCGCAAAAATATTTTGGTAAGGTCAAAGGTCAGTTTTAATAGAAAGGGCATTTGATGAGAAAATGTGAGTTGAACTTTACAAATTATAGGTAGTTTTTCCCAAATTATGTGTTTCTGATTCAGCTATATCATTTGAAGATCATATAAACCTTTGGTTGGCATTGTATTCATGAAAAACCATTACAAGGAAATAAAGGTTTGTACTTTGTATTTAGATCAGCAAAACATAAGATAATTTCAGCTCCATGCTTTACAAAGTATCAACAATACTAAATATGTCGAAGATACTGTTGAACTATCATACAAATTTGCGTTTATTGACATTCTAGCAGAAACAACAATTCAGCTGATGTCAGAAGGAGATATGTTTTGATAAGTGTCAGTATTGCACTGACATGCTGTGAAACCCTTAAAGCTGATGGATAATAGTATGACATCCTAATGGAAGGTTTACAATTGACATTATGGTGTTCCATTTTTTCTGTTTACAATGTGAAATATTACGACTTTGGTTTTATTTATTTATTTTACACCGGCAATCATTGATACATTGTAAAAGATATGACACACTGATCAGAAAGGCGTTATGGTATCTTACCACCAAATATACACACAGTCATGTCATCATAACACAAGCAACATTACCTTCATATCAATTCGTATTTATTGTTCTAATAGTCATAGTGTATTCCCAGTTGACATGTTAGTCAATGTCAACATTGTCAAGATCACGGGAACATGATTCATGTCCACATCCACATGCCGAAGCATACAACAGGTTCAACCTCTTGCAGCTACTCCTTCCTGTACATTGGCGTTTATATGCACAGATATGTTGAAGAAGGTCCACGGAAACGATTTGGTCTTAACTTATTTGCAACCTTATCACAGAGGAATATTTGATGAAGATCTATTACGAAAGAAACGTACTGCTTTAAATACAAAACATTAAGTGCCTAGTTTTGTGGACAACTCAAAAAGAAATTCCTAGACAATATTCATATAAACGTCTTGCTTCTACTGTAACGTTCATAAAAATATGCATACCTTGGTTTTAGTAATATGTAATTATATACACAAAAGAGTTACACATAGCATGGTCATGACACTATGAGCATCGATCTTCACAAGTGGGATACGATAGCATGCATCAAACAAGTAAGTGAGAACGACCACCCGATCACATTAGTTCGCTCTTACAACATGGGTTGCTGAAGATCAATTTTGACCCAATTAACATATTTGTGAACCTGCCAGAATGGTTAATGAATAAATGCATAGTCAGTCTCATGATATCTATTGTAGATCATTCCAAATGCTATTACTGACAACAGAATGTATGTCGCCAATATCTTTTCTGGTCTCTGCATAAGTCGTACCTCAGAGAGCCAATTGTCAAGCTGCATTTAATCAATATCAGCTGTTACGTACACGCACAGAAGTTGGTATATACGTTGACAGACGCTTTAGAATTATATTTTGCGCGGAAAACTTTGAATCGTCTATACATATTGACAATAGTGAGTGACCTCGTCTAGATGGATACTAAAAGACCAACTGTCGTTCCTTTCCCGATTTCCATATGTCGCATGACTACGTTGTCCTTCAAGCAGAGAGTGTATGAACTGACAATAGTTATCGTATCATGGAATTGGCTCACGTCAATCACTGTCTTCATCAGCTGACGCACGTCGACAGTACAGCGTCAGCTCTAACATATTGACAGACCTCACCCAGATGAACATTACCAAGTCGGCTGTAGTCAACTGCATTGTTCCAACAGCTGTGATCAGCAGAGTGTGTTTCAAATGCTTGCCCAGATCTATATATTTAGTTTCCGAATGCTAATATTACTAGGATTAAGGTTTTTAAATGCGTTTCCCTCCTTGTAAGAACCACATTCGCTCTGTATCGCTGGGACCTTACACATGCCAGTAGTCTGTCTCATACTCCAAACTTTCGGCCCAGCCCCTTCTGTAATGCAATAGTCCAAAATGAAGCCAGTCTAGTTCTGAGTCTCCGAACTCACTGGGGCTAATTCAGTATATTTTTCAGAGGCTTCCGCTTGGTATAACGTGCCAGGATCCTGTAATTATGGACCCAAACATGCTCCGGGTATGCTTATTGTGTTTTCAAGACCATATCTATGTTTCCGAATTTCTCCCACATTAAACAAACTGTTGTTAGATCCAACATTAAACTTGCACGCTGTGTAGCCTTTTTATGGCATTGGGTTCTGTGCGTGCGTTTGTTTATTATTTTCTTTGTTGCATTTGTATGGGCTGGGGCTATTCAAGATGAAATCCATCTAAGCAGGATGAATTGATTATATTTATTCATGGGTAAATTTTCATAATGTTTGCACTGTAAACTGATCAACATGTGGATGCTTGATGGGCATTTAGAAGTTGGAAGATAACATAACAACGTATGGTATGGATTTACAACTTCTTTATTATTTCCAACACAACGTTTCTAGGCTGCTTCTTAGTAGCTCAGAAACGTCGTGTATTTATGATAATGAATATTTGCTTGATATTGTATGGAATATGGAAAGGTTAATCCAAGTACATTGTATGTACAATTGCTTGTGCGATCTCTTAATCAGGATGATTATTTTCTTCAATTATCCATGGGGTAGTGGAGATAGAGGAAAGATGGGAGGTATATGTTCAAGACGTTAATGCGTTGATACGTCCAGACATCCAGATAACCTGCAGCGTTGCTTGAAATACTAAATCAATACATTTGAAAAAAAGCTTACCTAAAAGAACTTTGAAAAGTAAAACAACACTGTGTGAAAGTACCTGTGAGTAATGCAGCTTTAAGCAGGTTTCGATCACAAGTATTTTTACAGATGTTTTGTTTTTGATTGAATGCATGAATCATGAATCAAGAACAGCACTGTATAATGCATTGATGCGAAACATGTTCCAAACTGTAATGTTGTCAGTGAACTCCCAATAAACCAGGAGAGAGTAATAACATATTGCATAGCCTAAACAACTATCAAACCTCAATGTGAATAACACAATGTGAACCCAGATTTTCTGTGACCATTTTGTTTTAGTACTGGTAACATGAGCATATATAATGTGTTCAAATACATACCCTTGATATCCGGAATGATGCACAAGGTTTTAAGCCATGAAAACATTTGAAAACTTGCAAGTTTACAAATGTTTTTCCACCTAAGGAAATATTCATATTTCGAACCCAAGTAAACTTAGAAAAGAGTCGGAAATTACATCACCTATATTACAATCAAAAGGAATGCATTGGGAATACTGTGTATTTCAGAGGTATATGATGGGTGTGTACATTTGGTGGTAAGATACCATAACGCCTTTCTGATCAGTGTGTGATATCTTTTGCTGGTGTAAAATACATAAATAAAACCTAAGTCGTAATATTTCACATTGTAAACAGAAAAAATGGAACACCATAATGTCACTTGTAAACCTTTCATTAGGATGTCATACTATTATCCATCAACTGTAAGGGTATCACGGCATGTCATTGCAGCTGGAGCGTGAAGTGACACATATATTAACAATATTGACACTTATCAAAACATATCTCCTTCTGACATCAGTTGAATTGTTGAGTTTCATGCATGCAGTGCCAACCAAAGATATGTATGATCTTCAAATGATATAGCTGAATTATAAAAACATAATTTTGGTAAAATTACCTTAAATTTGTAAAATTGATAAAGTTGCAAATAAGTTAAGACTAAATTGTTTCCGTGGACCTTCTTCAACTTCATAACTGTGCATGTAAAAGTCAATGTACAGGAAGGTGTCAAAGAGGTTGAACCTGTTGTGTACTTCGGCATGTGGATGTGGACTTGAAACATGTTCCCGTGATCTTGACATTGTTGACATTGGCTACCATGTCAACTAGAAATACACTATGACTATTAGGAACAATAGACACGAATTGATATGAAGGTAATGTTGCTAGAGTTATGATGACATGGCTGACTCATCATTCTTTGATGAGCAAAGAAAGACATCTGGAATAATAGAATTTTACATTTAAGAGTTTTCTGTTATGTTGTGTGATTTTAGAGATAGTCCGACAGTATCATCGACATATTTGGTATCGTTGACTATGTAAAGCATGTAACTGTTACTGTTGAACAGACATTATATAATATTTTGCTGATCTAGATACAAAGTACCAACTTTTGTTTCCTTGTAATGTTTTTTCATGCATACAGTGCAAACCAAAGGTATATATGATCTTCAAATGATATAGCTGAATTAAAAGACATAATTTTGGAAACAATTACCTTTGATTTGTAAAGTTCAACTCATATTTTCTCATCAAATTCCCTTTCTATTAAAATTGACCTTTGACCTTACCAAAATATTTTTGCGATGAACATATATGTAATATTATTGTCCACAATTTTCAATCATGATCTGAGCATTCCAAAACTACTATTTTGATGAAAATCGGTCGCTCCAAAACAAACTTATTAAATTAAACCACCCAGTTATCGGTTAAAATATTGCCATAAATGACATGACATGTTGCACCTTAAAAGGGCCTCTGTACGGTAGTCACGCATGGTAGCTGATGACAACCGGCTTTAAATCAAAGCTAAATCATTCCTGATTGTGAAAAATCACATCCCGTTTGGTCGCCAGAACTGCACCACATTTTCACAATTTGGGGGGTTTGGCTTCTAGACCATTACAGCATGGGGGACATTCACATCTCATGGTTGGACACAGCTTGTCATTGTCAGTGGCAATCTCACAGGTCTGCGATACAGGGATGAGATCATTGGGCCTGGTCTGCAGCCGTTCATTGAAATACATCGATGTAACTTTATCCTTCAGGAAGATAATGTCCGACCATATCCGTGTGACAGATTCCTGAAACAGCAGAACATTCAGGTACCTCCCTGGCCAGCTGTTTCTCCGGACCTGTCCCCTATTGATCACACTGGGTGAAATCGAGATACGTTTACGTCAATCGCAAAAGCTGTATTTGGACAAGGGGTGGTTCAGACATGGAACAACATTCCCCAAGCTTTCTTCAATCGCTTTATGCGTTGTCGTTGTCAAGCCATCATCAACGCCAATGGTGGACACACACGACACTGAATTTGTGAACTGACTTTTGACGCCACATCTCTTCAACTGTGTGTCGCGATGCTTTGTGTCAAATCGTAAAGATTTCGATATTATCCAGTCAACAGGTAAACAGTGATTAACACCATAAAACATATCATCTGTTTGTATTAAAACAGGCATTACATCAAATAATGCACAGTTACTTTATTCCAGTAGTATTTAAGCGATTAAGGGAAAAGCAAGGGTGTTGGGCTCCATTGTGAGGAGTATTTGTTGTTTCGTCCAACTAACAACACCAAAAAAGTAAGATCCGGGTTAGAATTAATCTTCAGTAACTCATGCTTGTCGTAAGAGGCGACTAACGGGATCGGGTGGTCAGGCTCACAGACTTGGTTGACACATGTCATCGTATCCCAATTGCGTAGATCGATGCTCATGCTATTTATCACTGGATTGTCTGTTCCAGACTCGATGATTTACATACCGCAGTTATAAAGCTGTTATATTGCGCAGCGTGAACCTAAACTCACTCACTCACTCACCAAAAGAATATGAGAGGATGGGCACAGTGTAAGTATTTGTGTCTTTGTTGAGTTGTGTTAGTTTTTCAGCTCCGAACTTCAGATTTTCGTTAGTATTATAAGTATCATTATTACATAGATATGTGAAGGTGTACATTGGTATATACCGTATGTACATTTTGACCTTTGTTTGCAGATGATAACAAAGATACGACACTCCTCACATCGTCTGACATACCCAATAGCCGTAAAGAGTTTGTACCCATGATAACATACATTCAGTAATATAGCCTTGTCAGTGTCAGTAGATCCCAGTTGACCGGAGCACCACATCACAACCATGACGGGTATAGCAGGCGACAGAAACAACATTGCTAATGGGATTCTCTCTGGAATTGTGCTGGGATGTGGTAAGTTTAGTGGTTCAATGAGTGAGTAGGTGAGATGGTTGCTGGTTGGTTGGTTGGTTGGTTTGTTTAACGCCGCAATCAGCAATATTCCAGCTATATGGCGGAGGTCTGTAACTAATCGAGTCTGGACCAGACAATCCAGTGATCAACAGAATAAGCATCGTTATACACAATTTGTATACGATGACATGTGTCAACCAAGTCACTGAGCCTGACCACCCGATCCCCTTAGTCGTCTCTTTACTGGGTTGCTGAAGACTAATTCTAATCCGGATCTTCACGGGTTGAGCGAGAGTGAGTGAGCGGTTGCGTGAGTGAGTGGGTGGGTTAGAGGGTGGATGGGTGAGTGGTTGAGTGAGTAGTTGAGTGAGAGTGAGAATGGTTGAGTGAGTGCTTGAGTGAGAGTGAGAGCAAGAGTGGTTGGGTGAGAGTGAGTGAGAATGATTGAGTCAGTGATTGGTTGAGTGAGTCAGTGAGTGGACAGATGTTGATTCTATTTTCCTTTCTCCTGCAATTCCAATTTTCTCGTTGAATTCGCCTTAGAGCTGCTATAACATTCAAGTAGTCACATACCGACATTGTGACATCGTATCTGCAGTTCCCAGCCCCAACGAGTGAGGCCTACAAAGCATGAACGTATTTCTGGAACAGCGCAGGTGATGTTATCGTGGATAACAAGAGATTTATATCACGTTATCTTTACAGTGACAGTGCGTGACTGAGCGTACTGTCAGACCCATGGTACGACAGACATCACACTCTAGAAACACATATTCTAAAATGTTTGTTTGTTGTTTAACGCCGCATATTCCAGCTATATGGCTACCGTGTGTAAGTAATCGAATCTGGACCAAACAATCCAGTGATCAACATCGATCTACGCAATTAGGTCAGCAATCAAGTCAGCGAACCTGACCACCCGAACCCTTCAGTCCCCTCTTACGACAAACATGGGTTACTGAACATCAAATCTAACCCGGACCTATCACAGGTACAAGGAGCGGTCGGGTAGGCTTGTCGTTAAAGCGTTCGCTCGTCACGACAAATACCCGGGTTCGATTCCCGAATGGGTGCAATGTGTGAAGCCAAGTACTGGTGGCCCTTGCCGTGATATTGGAATTATGCTAAAAGCCGCGTGAAACTAAACTCACTCACTCACACGCAGGTACAAGCTGAGGCCTACAAACAGATGCAACAGCTGATCTCTGTAGCACCCTCACTAATCATGAAATGCTTCCGTTTAATATATCCAATGTCTAAACCTGAAAGAGACCTTACTATCCTCGTTTGGCACTGATGTTTGGCCTTTCAAATAATGAAAACAATCATCCATCATCATAGTGATACCCCATTATATGATAAAAAACAATTATCAGTACACGTATATTCGCATCCTCGATAATCTCCAGGGTATACGTTACGATATATCTCCACTTGTACCCTGGATGCATCTACGGCTCGGCCCGATAATTTTATTACCTCCCTTCGCTGGCTCCGCATTCTCACAGTAGCCAATCAGCTAGCAGCTGTTACAACCGAGCTTGCCAGTGTCAATAAAGATAGCGGTCGCAGCCGCGAAGGTTTGATCGCAGTGCCACTCAGATTTTTGGGAGAAATCATACTGACAAATTGACAGGTCTGAAACCTTAAAATATATGCAAGGAGTCTTTCTACCTCTTTCAATTATGTTGCCAAGTTTAATCGGTTAGATAAAAGAAGTGAAAGTGAGTTGTGATTGGTACGCTCAACTTCACAACGTAGACACCTGATTGGATAAAACCAGTAAAGGGAGGTAATAAAATCATGGGGCCGAGCCATAGATGCATCCAGGGTATAGTGGAAATTTATCGGAACGTATACCCTGGAGATTATCGAGGATGGTATGTTCGTGGATGCATGTTATAATCGAACAGAATGTTTGGACCCATTAGCAGTGAGTGTGAGTGAGTGAGTTGGTTTTGTTATGCCGCTTTAGCAATATTCCACCTGTATCATGGCGGGGGAAACCAAGACTGAGCTTCAAGTGTTGTGACCAGGTGAGAATCGAACCCGGGTATTCGGCGCGACAGGTGAATGCTTAAACCACTAGGCTACCACGCCATGCCTTTACCCATTTGGAGTTATGGGACTGAGAAATATATATACCTATATATACGGATTGACCAATTTGCTCAAAACGGTTATGCAGCAGACAAACAGCTGTTAAAAGATTAGGTCACCCTTGTCCCTCGTAAGGGCGCAGTTCAGATATAAGTGATTCATCAGCGTGACATTCTAGTCACCTTGTTCATGAGTTAAGGTAATGTTATAACCTGTGAACATCCGGGTGAGAACTGGTCTTCAGCAACCCATGCTTATAGTAAGAGGCAACTAAGGGGATCGGGTGGTCAACTCGCTAGCTTGGTTGACACATGTCATCGTATCTAAATTGCGTATATCGATGTTCATGCTGTTGATCACTGGATTATCTGGCCCGGAGTTGATGATTTACAGACCGCCCGGCGTTAAACAAGAAACAAAAAAGACATTTCATACACTTTCTGATCGTAATGTACTGTTCAAATCCATCTTTCTTAAAATTTCAGGGATCGTTTTCAGCGCTTTGGCGGCTGTGATTATAAAAAAAATCATCTCACTTGAGAACCTACCTTCAGACGAAGGCTCACTGACCACATTGTCTACTTTGCCTGTGTGGGCTTTGGGATTTGCTGTAAGTATCATTCTTTTCTCAGTTTTTGTCATATATTCATTTTTTACAATTGTACTGTTGGAATGCCTATATTGGTCCCTGAGTGCGAATGAAACAGCTGTCTTTACTTGTTAATATAAATTTGAAGATATATGCCCTTTATCAACAAGAGACCCGTGAATATCCAGGTTAGATTGGGTCTTCAGTAACCCATGCTCGTTGTAAGAGCCGACTAACGGGATCTGGCGGTCAGGCTCGCTAACTTGGTTGACACATGTGATCGGTTCTCAATTGCGATGGTTATGATGCTGATCACTGGATTGTCTGGTTTAGACTCGATTATTTACAGACTGCCGCGATATAGCTGGAATATTGCTGATTGCGGCGTTAAACCAGCAACCAAACACTCGTCCATAAGAGTCCTTAAACTGCATGTATTCAGGGACTTAAATGATCATCAAAATTTTGCATTCCTTGTTTAATCTATATTTTGGTTTTAGTACATTGTACCGGGACTGATGGGGCTTGTTGCAACATTCGTCAAAGCAAAAGGAATGGTAAGCTAGATCGTCATATTCTTTAACGGAGATAGTCACTATGATTTACATTTTTGAAAGATTGTATCAAAGGTGACTGGTGAATTTAATATAATGCAGTTTAATGTTATTTCATTATATTTTTATATAAAAGATAATATAGCCGTAGTATATCAATGAAATAATGGCATGATGGCTTGTATAGTTTCATACATGATCAAAGAGACCCCGGCATATGGTTCCAATCATGAAGTTCCTCGAGAAATTCAAAGCATAATACTAACATTAACAGTCTTTTCTATATTAATCTTGATGGCCTGAAGAGACAGGGGCGGCGGGGTAGCCTAGTGGTTAAAGCGTTCGCTCGTCACGCCGAAGACCCGGGTTCGATTCCCCACATTGGTACAAAGTGTGAAGCCCATATCTGTTGGAATTGGCTATTTGATGGTTATTGAACGATATTAGACCATTGATATACCTGAAGCTGAAGTTAAACATAAAGGGTGCGCAAGGGGATGCCTACTTCTTCTCTTAATGTTTTACCCCCAGCATTACACATATTGTTTTCACGGTAAACTTCAAATTACATTTGCTTTATATTTTGACAAATGGTCCTCAACCTCAGACGATGGATATGTAGGCATATCTGTTCATACCGTACATTGGGGTGGTAGGCTAGAAGACCCGGGTTCGATTCTCCACATGGGCACAATGTGTGAAGACCATTTCTGGTGTCCCCCGCCGAAGTATTGCTGGATATTGCTAAAAGCAGCATAAAACTACTCACTCACTCATAAAACGTTTAAGACGTTAACAGTATAAAACAACCAAAATACTGATATTTACTGACGTAAAATTGAATATAATTCAGTATGGTGGTTGTGCATAAATTATACATATTGTTGTTGATTCATGCAAAATTTCCTCTTCAGTACATCACCCATATGGTGTTCTCTATCATCACGCTTCTCGCCATGGGAATCTTCTTCGTCCTTGGAATAATCAGCATCGCCGCCCTAGCTGAACTGAATGTAAATGTACCTCAGTGCATGTATGTAACAATCTATAACATATATCGTTATCCTCCATGTTATTCATTATACATATCCAACTAAAATCGTTATTCTTGTAGTCTTCATGTCCGATAGGTGGGTTAGCTTGATCGTTAAAGTGCCGATGTATGTATGTAACAATCTGTAACATATATCGTTATCCTCCACGTTATTCATTATACATGTCCAACTAAATCGTTATTCTTGTAGTCTTCATGTCCGATAGGAGGGTTAGCCTGATCGTTAAAGTGCCGACGTATGTATGTAACAATCTATAACATATATCGTTATCCTCATTGTTATTTATTATGCATATCCAACTAAAAATCGTTATTCTTGTAGTCTTCATGTCCGATAGGTGGGTTAGCTTGATCGTTAAAGTGCCGATGGTTAACAATCTATAACATATATCGTTATCCTCCAGTTATTCATTATACATATCCAATGTATCGTTATTCAGTCTATAAGGAGGGTTATATCGTTAAAGTGCCGATGTTATCCTCAATCTATAACATATATCGTTATTCATTATTTATTATCCAACTAAAATCGTTATTCTTGTAGTCTTCATGTCCGACAGGAGAGTTAGCCTGATCGTTAAAGTGCCGATGTATGTATGTAACAATCTATAACATATATCGTTATCCTCCATGTTATTTATTATGCATATCCAACTAAAATCGTTATTCTTGTAGTCTTCATGTCCGATAGGAGGGTTAGCTTGATCGTTAAAGCGCCGATGTATGTATGTAACAATCTATAACATATATCGTTATCCTCCATGTTATTTATTATGCATATCCAACTAAAATCGTTATTCTTGTAGTCTTCATGTCCGATAGGAGGGTTAGCCTGATCGTTAAAGCGGTTAGCCTGATGTATGTATGTATGTATGTTACAACCTGTAACATATATCAGTATCCTCCATGTTATTTATTATGAATATCCAATTAAAATGGTTATTCTTGTAGTCTTCATGTCCGATAGGAGGGTTAGCCTGATCGTTAAAGTGCCGATGTATCTATGTTACAACCTGTAACATATATCAGTATCCTCCATGTTATTTATTATGAATATCCAATTAAAATGGTTATTCTTGTAGTCTTCATGTCCGATAGGAGGGTTAGCCTGATCGTTAAAGTGCCGATGTATGTATGTAACAATCTATAACATATATCGTTATCCTCCATGTTATTCATTATACATATCCAACTAAAATCGTTATTCTTGTAGTCTTCATGTCCGATAGGAGGGTTAGCCTGAGCGTTAAAGTGCCGATGTATGTATGCAACAATCTATAACATATTTCGTTATCCTCCATGTTATTTATTATGCATATCCAACTAAAATCGTTATTCTTGTAGTCTTCATGTCCGATAGGAGGGTTAGCTTGATCGTTAAAGTGCCGATGTATGTATGTAACAACCTATAACATATATCAGTATCCTCCATGTTATTTATTATACATATCCAACTAACATCGTTATTCTTGTAGTCTTCATGTCCGATAGGAGGGTTAGCCTGATCGTTAAAGCGCCGATGTATGAATGTAACAATCTATAACATATTTCGTTATCCTCCATGTTATTTATTATGCATATCCAACTAAAATCGTTATTCTTGTAGTCTTCATAGGTCCGATAGGGTATGTATGTAACAATCTATAACATATATCGTTATCCTCCACGTTATTCATTTAGCCTAATGGATAATGCGTCAATGTATGAATGTTACAATCTGTAACATATATCGTTATCCTTCCATGTTATTAATTATACATTTCCAACTCAATCATTATTCATTTAGTCTTCACCTCAAATAGAACACTGGAATACGATGACATGTATCAACAAAGTCAGCGAACCTGACCACCCGATCCCGTTAGTCGGGAGCATAGGTTGCTGAAGATCAATTGTAACATGATCTTTACAGGTCCGCTGTTCTGGTACGTCTGATGACGAGCGCTGTGAAGAGGATGCTCCAGTGCAGAGGGGTGCAGGGGGTTATGTCTGTTAAATGTTTATCTGGAAGTAAGATTTGGTAGAAATCCGAATGCCATTATCTCTGTTCCAGTCCTCCAGACACCGGATGTGACATTCCATCAAGTCTGTATTCCATGTGTATCAGCGTGATAGTTTTCATTATCTTGGGATGGATCTTCACCCTCGTCACTACCATCCTGTCGGGAATCCTCGCCTGTCGAAATGAGGTAAGCCAGTTCCAGGACCCGTGAAGATCCGGGTTACAATTGTCAAATTAGTTTCGTGGGATCAAAACCACTAACGATTTGGGGACCAATTTATATGAGGTTTAGATAATCTGTTACATAAAACAGATTCGAACCACGGACCTTCTGATCTGAGGTCGGACACCTTGTCCACATGACCAAAGAGGATAACCCTGTCGGTAAGGTGACAAAGTTAAGATGCCATCTGTGGGATGAGTCCACGCCCTGCTACATCGTCTCCATCATTCGTTTTCTTGAAGCTCATCAACACTGAAACAATGGAGTAACCCGTGAAGATCCTTTTTAGAATTGGTCTTCAGCAACCCATGCATGCCGGAAGAGGCGACTAACGGCATCGGGTGATCAGGCTCGCTGACGTGGTTGACATGTCATCGCATCCCATCTGCGTACATCAATGCTCATGATGTTGATCACTGGACTGTCTGGTTCAGAGTCGATTATTTACAGACGGGCGCAATATAGCTGGAATATTGCTGAGTGCATGGTTAAACTGCAAACAAACAAACTATTATACCGACAGGAAATATTTTACGCCCGTTTCATAGTAACTTGTTGATAAATGTTTCGAAATGCTTTTCGGTTCATAAGTTACATGAAATACTTTAGTGCGATTTAAAACCCAAAGGGCAATTTTCAACCTTCGTATTGTTGATTTAATCCTGCCTTGAATATCTTTCCTTATTTCATCGTTTTATTCTTTTTGTTCCAGAATAACGCGCATTTGGTATACATGCAGAATGTGCCGCCATCAATGACTACCGTGGCAGTTACCTCAGCAGCCAGTTGCTATTCTAACCCTAACTATCCCACGAAATATTAGTCACAATGACGTCACGACGTTGACGTTCAATCGCAAGACTTGCGTGGGAACTTCCAAAACACAAATTGAGGCAGAATTAGATTTTAGAATTAGAATCAGTCATTCTGTTTAAACTTTCATATTGGCATTGCTTTCTGACTTTATGGATTTATCCTTATAAAATATGATTACACAATACCATTTAGAAAGTGGTCAAATGTAACATATGTTATATTTGGGATTACAATCGCCAGCACTCAAAGTCAGCCGCCTAACCCGCTCAGCGGAAGTCGCGGTGGCTGAGCGGGTTAGGCGACTGGCTTTGTGTGCTGGCGATTAGGTGCCTGACTCTGAGGGTGTGGGTTCGAATCCCGGATGGGGCTCAACTCAAAGAGTACTAGAATTTGTACTGTACTAAGAAAGTGTAATCCCAAATATAACATACGTTACCGTATAACATAATCAATCCATTACAAAGTTTACGGATCTCACTCTTAAAATCGAAAACTTTTTTAAAAAAACGAAAAAATAATGATGACGTCTTATATTAAAAATCAGCGACGGTAAAGATCGCCTCGACCCGAATATGCAAATGGAATGTCGCTAAACATTCAAATTTATTATTTATGAAAGCCCAGACTAGGCCAAGATGTGTTTATATTTCATCCCCTCCCAATCCATATCAAACGTTGACATAAGTATACAAATACAAACAAGGCTCTTTGATAAAAAATAGCAAAACAATTTCTCGAACATCCGACCACGGCTGAAATCCGTAAACCAAAATGTGCGTATGTCCCAAGATGTCATGTGGTGTTTTCAGAACAATGTATGACTTTTCTCATTTGCAGATTTAGTCCATTTAATTCGTTTTGAAATTTTGACACATACTTTGTAATCACATACATGAAATTAAAAAAGAACAAATTTTTGTTTTCGCGTCGTTTGAATTCTGTACAAAATAAAGCAAAAATCGTTCCCATAAGATGTCAACTGAACGTTGAGTTCTACTTAAGATTCTAACTATATCACACAAAAATATGTTTTGAGAAGACAACCTGAAACTGTGAGATTGGCGCAGTTCGGTGAACAGTAAAAAGTGCTTCAAAGTGTTTAACCTCGAATCAAACATTAAATCCAGACATTTAATTTGTCAGACAGACAAATTGATGAAAACATTGTGACTATCTGCAAATGCAAGCCTAGGGGCCTCGGCGTTTCTCCTGGAATCTCAAATGACGTAACGGTACAGAAAGCAAGTTGAAATGATTTATCAGTATCCGGATATACATGACAGTTTGTGATCCGTGAAGCAAACTCGCTGATTTGGCATGAAACACATCATCGTATCCCAATTGCGTAGATTGGTGCTCATGCTGTTGATCACTGGATTGCTTGGTGCAGATTCGATTATTTACAGACTGACGCCGTATAGCAACGACCTACGCAACTGGGAACCGATGACATGTGTCAACTAAGTCAGCGAGCCTGACCATCCGATCCCGTTAGTCGCCTCTTACGATAAGCATAGGTTCCTGAAGATCAATTCTAACCCGGATCTTCATGGAAACGTTGTCCTTGCCTGGCGTGCATTTGGCGTTTATTAACCGTACCCACATTTCTGATTTCATCCGGAACGGTTTGGTGACCTAATGCTTAACGCGTTCGTTCGTCACGCGGATTGACGGTGGGGTAGCCCAGTGGTTATAGCGTTCGCTCGTCACGCCGAAGACCCGGGTTCGATTCCCTACATGGGTACATTTCTGCCCATTTCTGGTGTCCCCCGCCGTGATATTGCTGGTATTTTGGTTAAAACGGCGTAAATCTAAACTCACGTACTATTAGCCGTAGCAGTATCAGCTTATTATTGTTTCCATTCCTGATCAAAATCGTGTTGATGAATGATTTGCGTGTATCTTGTACTTCCACGCTGTGACAAAATCGACACACGCATACTGTGGACCGAATGGTTACTTTTTCGCGAGCACCGGGTGTCACAAAAAGAACACTTCTTTGCTTCTTCTTCTCCCATACTTCCTGGTACCCTTAACCTTGCTAATGGCATTGTGAACTTTAAGGCAGGTCAGTCAACAACTAGGGTTAAGGTAGAAGTCGCGAATCCCTCTTCTAAACCAATCACCATTCCATCTAAGATGCTGATCACAAAAGAGTCCCTATTTCGGTTGAGGAACGCCCTCCATATATATTTGTGAAATATGAAATATATTAATGAATTATGAAGTTTAAACTTAAAATGAAGAATCTGTGCATCTGGCAAATGTTCAGTGTCAATGGATTATTCTCTCTAATATTTCTATCACATGGAGAGAGCTATCTATGGCATCAATTCATTAGCGCCTAAAACGAAACTCTAATTTCTGTTAATTATGCCTCAACGGCGTAGATCGAAACTAATGCTGTTGTTCACTGGATTGTCGATTATTTACACATCGCCGCTATTGACTGAGTGAGTGAATTTAGTTTTACGCCTATTTTACTAATATTCAAGCAAAATCACGGCGAGGGACACCTGAATGAGCTTTACACATTGTACCCATGCGGGGAATAGAACCCGGGTCTTCGGTAACGAGCGATCGAACGCTTTAACCGCTAGGCTACCCCACCGCCCCTTAGCCGACGCCATTAAGCTGAGGGCGGCGTTAGACAACAAACCGACCTTTGGGAGTCATGCGCCGTTTAGTTGTGTTTGTGCTATCAAACCCTGTGTCCGAGAACATACGTTCTTGGACCCTCCAGAACACCCTGTGTCAGGTGTGAGTGAGTGAGTGAGTATGGTTTTACGCCGCTTTTAGCAATATTCCAGCAATATCACGGCGGGGACACCAGAAATTGGCTTCACACATTGTACCCATATGGGGAATCGAACCCGGGCCTTCAGCGTGACGAGTGAACGCTTTAACCACTAGGCTACCCCATCGCCCCCTGTGTCAGGAAAATGTTTGCATGTTATGAGATGTTATTTATTTATGGCTACTAACAGATGGACCTTTATTGTATATAATATGTTTACACTGCCAACACTTAGCCTAATAGGGCCTGTAAGTAGGTCACGGCACTTCGCGAGACCTTAGTACTTCCGTTGACAAACAACGTTTCATACCTTTTCGAAGGACAATGAAGAATTGACAATCCTTGCTTGAATAACAAATTTCTAACCATCCCCAAAGTAGCCAACTATTACGACTGTCAACAGCTCTGACAGCCAAGCATGGTTGTACACTTGGTCCGGTCTGGTAAAGTCATGTTTAGCGGTCGCGCAATTTGGAACCAGAATTGGTTCTTGAATATACACTTATCATCCGAAATCTGGTACCGGAAGTACGCTGGGATTTGTCTCGCATATTGCAAATTGGCGCAAAGTAACGCCTTCACTCTGACAGCAAGCAGATCATGGTAGTAAATATTTAATAACATTTGATTTTTAAATCTTAATTTATGGCAATGTGTTCATGCATGAGTTACATTTGGAAACACTTTCAAATGAAGGATTGAATGAATGAATGAATGAATGAATGAATGAATGAATGAATGTAAATTCTACTGCACATTGCACATCAGTTTATGTTTATTACAGTTACTCCGTGGTCCATTTGGGATGCATTTCTTGTGACCTGGGTTGTTGGTTGGTTTTGGGGTTGTTTTTTTTTGCTTTTGTTCATCTGTGTTTGTTGTTGTTGTTGATCTTGTGTTTATTTACGGAGGGGTGGGGTGGGCATTTGGGAGAAGATGACATGTGTCAACCAGTTCAATTAGCATGACCACCCGGTCCCGTTAGTCTCCTCTTGTGATAAGCATGGGTTGCTGGAGACAATTTTAAACCACATCCTTATGGGCTACTCCAGTGAGAGTGTGGATGAGTTCCAAGAATACGAATGATGGATACGTTGTAACAGAAAATTTTCCTCCCATATACAAAAAATATATTGAATATGTTCTCAAATATACACTCACACCGCCACCCCTTCATCCCCTCCCCTCATTTTTCACGCAACACCCCACTCCTGAAACAGAACATGTTTAAATATTGCTTTGTGAGACCCTATGGACATTTTCGTCAGGGGTAATGTAAACACTTGAATCAAATTTCTCCATTATTAATTTTATTTCCCATTGTTACATTTACCTGCTGATATAAGTAAATATACTTTAGCATGATTATGTAGCATTATCGTAAGACAATTCAACAATTACTCGCCACATATTCCACAAGCGCCGTGAACGTTTGCTGCACGAGATTCATGTCCTCTCAGCACACAGAAAAAGGATTCGGTACTATTCCGTACACTAACGATGGTGTTTGGAGTTTTAATCAATCGGATACTTTTCAACATTCATTATAATCCGCTTGTACTTTTAATTGCAACATGGAATATATTTTATATTCACTGAAGAAGTTTTCAGGATTCAGTTTTCATTACCAGAATTAACTTATAATTAATTTGTTCCTACACGGACACAATTCTCATGGGAACTATTCACCGTTTACAACTGCATGACAACGGTGTTGTTGCAAGTGGATCATGGTTTTATATCGTAACAAAATAGTGATAATTAGTCATTAGTCAGCTAGTTCTGCTTCATTCCCGCTAGGCAACGGTACAAACATCTGCCCTGAAACATCCCACTCACAAAATACAAGATGGAAAACTGATTTGTATGGATAGTCAACTTCTTTATTGCAATGAGTGCGACGTTTCGGTGTAGGTACTAACACCGTTATCAAGCAAGTGATACAACAACTGAAGCAAGGAGAATATATATACATAGCTGTATAGTGAGTATATACAATTGACAAGGTTGATGTACATTGGATATTTGGTAAGTGATTACGGCAGAGGAGGTTGATGTACAGAGTGATTGATTGTGATTAGAGTTGAGTTTATACAATTGATGAGTTGACGTACAATAGTTGTGATTACTAGTGTATATACTCACTATACGGCTATGTATATATTCTCCTTGCTTCAGTTGTTGTATCACTTGCTTGATAACGGTGTTAGTACCTACACCGAAACGTCGCACTCATTGCAATAAAGAAGTTGGCTATCCATACAAATCAGTGTTCCTTCATCTTCACAACTTCTAAAATGCCTCTCAAAGAAAAATACAAGAAGTTGTTATCCATGAATTTGTCAGTAAGTTACTTCCAAACTTCTCAAATGCAGATCAAAGAAGATACTACTGTTTTGGACATATTCCTTAACAACAAGTTTCAAGAAAACAAATCATACTTGTAAAACTAAGAAATATACCCATCCGTTATTAACACCACAGATTTCCACGTTTTCCCGAATCCGTTCCGATTAACACTTTAAATATGGATATTAATAACAACTTCCGTTCTTTACAAAAACTCATAACAAAGGATAGTCATTTCGTATTGTTTTTAAACTTTATATTAATCGTTAATAACATTTAAACGTAATCTGATCTAACGGTTTAGTATTTTTCCCGCCAATCGCGATACGACTGGTTGGATGAAGGTTTCACATAGGAAGGGTAGTCTGAGCTTTGTACGTAGGATCTGTTGTCCTGGTAGCCTGTGTCTTGCGAGTAGGATCTGTTGTCAGGGTAACCCGAGCCTTGCTTGTAGGATCTGTTGTCAGGGTAACCTGTGTCTTGCGAGTAGGATCTGTTGTCAGGGTAACCCGAGCCTTGCTTGTAGGATCTGTTGTCAGGGTAACCTGTATCTTGCGAGTAGGATCTGTTGTCAGGGTAACCCGAGCCTTGCTTGTAGGATCTGTTGTCAGGGTAACCTGTGTCTCGCGAGTTGGACCTGTTGTCAGGGTAACCCGAGCCTTGCGTATAGGACCTGTTGTCAGGGTAACCCGAGCCTTGCATGTATGACCTGTTGTCAAGGTAACTCGTTCCTTGTGTGTAGGCCCTACTGTCTGGATATCCCGTCCCTTGCATGTAGGCCATGTTGTCAGAGTAGGCCAAATTGCCCTGATAGGCTGTAGGCTGCATGTTAGTGGTGGTGGACACGACCGTCATTGGTGCCATCGGCACCATCACCTGACCATGCCTTGCCTGAAACATGACAGTGTAAGACATTAGTGCAATACTGGGATGAATAAGGGACATCGGCTAAAGCAGTGATCTGCATGGGATGTGAGTTATTTGTCATATTCCCAGAAAATACAGAAATAATTAGTCAAAATTATAAATTATTATTATATCTTTGGTCGACATTTTAGAAGTTTGGAAGTACAATATAAACAAACTTTATGGATAACAACTTCTCTGTTTCGTGAGTGTGACGGTTCGATACAGATTCTTGTACCGTTGTCAAGCAGTTCAAGAATCTGCATCGCAACGTCGCACTCGCGAAATAATTCAAGAAGTTGTTATCCAGAAAGTTTGTCTACATTGCTCAACAGCATATGTTAAAGACAAGACGGTGAGGTGAAAAGAGGTTTAACGTCGTACTGAAGAATATTTAGCTCATATGACGACGTGTATGCGTGTGTATGTGTGGCTGCTTGTACTAGCCCAGACTTAAGCTGGTTTTATCGTGCTAGCTCACTAAGCCCCGTTCACATGCAGCTGTTTGCACACTTATGTATAAATACACACATGAGCAAACTTTACATGCGTGTGTAAATGTGTCATGTGAACGCATTTACTCACGTATGTAAATATTCACTAGGAGCAGATTTACATGTGGTCGGGACCAGGGGCAAAATTATATTTACACATGTGCAAGTTTGCACTGTGAGTAAATTGTGTCATGTCATCTTTATTTAGGGGAAAAGTTACATATTCCGGAAGCAAAACATCACATATGGTCTGACAAACGGTGAACTTCACAACACCAAACAAATTCCCCACAGTTCTAGATTCTGAAGTTGAAGCCACCAAGTATATTGCGATTGCCACTTTCATTCGTACATCCAAAGGTTGGCGAACAGCTTGGTCACTAGCTATTAAGTAATCCTGCAGTTGTGTGCAGATAAGATCGAAAACCAGTCTTTGTCGTCACTAGGTTTATTCATGTCGTTCCAGCAAACAGCGGTCTTTCTTGTGACAGACCTGTTTCAAGAGCAGTACATATCTAATACTGTGTTTGTCTTCTAAAGCGCCAGTGATAAAAGAACATCTTCCTCTGTTTATGTTCAGAGAAACAATGAGACAATTTAATACATTTATTATTTACACTTTCAAGTTTACTCACTCTACATAAATTCAATGTGAACGCAAAGTAAATTTACTATTACACACATGTGTATATTTACACATGTGCAAATGTACTTACATGAGTAAATTTTGTGCAAGTGAATGGGGCTTAAGATACCATGCCGCAGTTAAGCATGACTACCCCACTCAGACATATTATACTGACTCCGAGCCGACCAGTCCTTGATGCACCCATTAATGCTGAACGCCAGGCAGAGACCAACAAGTACAATATTTTAACGTCTTTTGGTATGACGTGGCCGGGGATCGAACCCGCGACCTTCCACTCTGCGGGCGAATGCTCTACCTAACACCTCGAAGGCGGCTTAATGACACAACCTTGTTCATGAACAAATCACCAATCGAAGCCAGCAATCATTGCCGCCTCCACTACAAGAGAGAGAGATGGAATTTAACTACGCCAAAGTCATCCTGATAAAAGATATGGTTGTTCCCTCTACAGAAAGTACAAGCGCTAGTTTATTACAGTTCCCCCCACATTACCGGTTGTCTGCAAGCGAGGATACCACCGAGTATTGTGATGACCAGTGTGAGGACCCAGCCAAGCACCATGCTGATTGAGATGCTGTAGACAACGGCGTAGAAACTCGAGGAAGTAACGGAACAAGCAGCTTGAGATGAGGATCTGAGCAGAGAGTGATATAGTTAGTTTATGATTGGGTGGTTGGGTGAGTGGGTCGGTGGGTGTGTGGGTGGGTGAGTGAGTGAGTGAGTGACTGACTGAGTGAGTGAGTGATGTACGCTACAAATCCCTGTATTCCTCATAAAACCAGCACACTGAAGCATGGCCACTTCAGAAAGTGGTTTATATAGACGATGTACGCAGATTGGAATTATCATTATTATTGACGATATATTTTTTATAGATATATAGATGTATGTTGTTGTTGTTGGGTAGGGTTGAGTGTGAGAATGGGTAGAGTTGGTTTGCATGAGTGACTGGAAATATGGATGGATGGATGGGTGAGTCAGTGAATGGGTGAGTGACTGACTAAGTGGGTGGGCAGGTGGGTATAGGGGGTAGTGTTTCCGCTACGAATACCCTTTCTATTCTCGCGATCTCGACCTTGGGAAACAAGCTTAAAATGCCAAAAGCGCGAGAGTGCGAGATCGCAAGAACGCGAGATTTGGGCCAAATCGCGTTCTCGCGATCTCGCATTCTCGCATTCTCGCACTTTTGCATATTTAGCTTGTTTCCAAAGGTCGAGTTCGCGAGAATGCGAGATCGCGAGAATGTCCCTTACAGTATTCCATACCTTCAGCTGCTTTGTCTGACAATGAAGAGTAGCCTTGATATCAAAACAATGTACGGAGCGAGTGAGTGGCTGAGTTTGGCTAGTAGCGTACCTGCCATTAGACACTTTAGGCACGTGCCTCCACCTAATTATTTCGGCATTTTTTAACATGTGGCCTTATGTTATGGACATGTTATTTTTCGAGAGCAGTCTCCGTTTCTATGAAAGGTGGATAACTCTTATGCTCGTTGCTACTTTGATGCCAACATGGTGTCTGGCACACCAAAAACAACTACCAAGTTTTTTAAGATTTCATCCGTGAAAGATGATACTAATTAGCTTGCTCCTCAGGCAGAGTGAGTGAATGAGTGAGTTTAGTTTCACGCCGCACTCAGCAATATTCCAGCTATATGGCGGCGGTCTGTAAATAATCGATTCTGGACCGGACAATCCAGTGATCAAGAGCATGAGCATCAATCTGCGCAAATGGGAACCGATGACATGTGTCAACCAAGTCAGCGAGCCTGACCATCCGATCCCGTTAGTCGCTTCTTACGACAAGCATAGTCGCCTTTTGTGGCAAGCATGGGTTGCTGAAGGTGGGGAGATTCCGATAGAGAAAATGATGCCTTTAACTCTGACTATATTCCCGTAAAATATATGAGTATGATCAAATTAATCTCTCTCTCTCTCTGATCTGATACAATGCCCTTTTCTGGAATATTGCTAAAAGCGGCGTCAAACCTAACTCACTCACTCCATCTACTTAAGTAACAGGACAGAAAAATGATTAAGGTATTCTCACCCGCACACATTGGAAACGTAAGTGAGACCAGTTAGAGCCAGCAAGGCGATGATGACGAAGATTCCCATTGCCAGCAGAGTAAGGATGCAGAACACCATCTGGACAATGTACTGAGAAGCGATACCATACTGAATTAATTCATTTTAGAACATTATATTTTAGTTTCTCAGGTATTTCCATCAGCATGATAACAAGCGGTCGAAAAATATAAATATCGAGATATTGTACTGGGAAACAATACCATACTGAATTAATTCATTTTAGAACATTATATTTTAGTTTCTCAGGTATTTCCATCAGCATGATAACAAGCGGTCGAAAATATAAATATCGAGATATTGTACTTGGAAACAATACCATACTGAATTAATTCATTTTAGAACATTATATTTTAGTTTCTCAGGTATTTCCATCAGCATGATAACAAGCGGTCGAAAATATAAATATCGAGATATTGTACTGGGAAACAATACCATACTGAATTAATTCATTTTAGAACATTATATTTTAGTTTCTCAGGTATTTCCATCAGCATGATAACAAGCGGTCGAAAAATATAAATATCGAGATATTGTACTGGGAAACAATACCATACTGAATTAATTCATTTTAGAACATTATATTTTAGTTTCTCAGGTATTTCCATCAGCATGATAACAAGCGGTCGAAAAATATAAATATCGAGATATTGTACTGGGAAACAATACCATACTGAATTAATTCATTTTAGAACATTATATTTTAGTTTCTCAGGTATTTCCATCAGCATGATAACAAGCGGTCGAAAATATAAATATCGAGATATTGTACTGGGAAACAATACCATACTGAATTAATTCATTTTAGAACATTATATTTTAGTTTCTCAGGTATTTCCATCAGCATGATAACAAGCGGTCGAAAAATATAAATATCGAGATATTGTACTGGGAAACAATACCATACTGAATTAATTCATTTTAGAACATTATATTTTAGTTTCTCAGGTATTTCCATCAGCATGATAACAAGCGGTCGAAAATATAAATATCGAGATATTGTACTGGGAAACAATACCATACTGAATTAATTCATTTTAGAACATTATATTTTAGTTTCTCAGGTATTTCCATCAGCATGATAACAAGCGGTCGAAAAATATAAATATCGAGATATTGTACTGGGAAACAATACCATACTGAATTAATTCATTTTAGAACATTATATTTTAGTTTCTCAGGTATTTCCATCAGCTGATAACAAGCGGTCGAAAAATATAAATATCGAGATATTGTACTGGGAAACAATACCATACTGAATTAATTCATTTTAGAACATTATATTTTAGTTTCTCAGGTATTTCCATCAGCATGATAACAAGCGGTCGAAACATATAAATATATAAAATGTACGGAAAAGCAAAACCATACTGAACTAATTCGTTTCAGGTCATCCGTATTTTTCCCATCTCCATCCTCAAACAACAAGAGATTGGGTGGGGAAAATAAAAAAGAAAGATAAAAAAACTGTTCATTAATTGTGTAGCTTATTGTATGAGATTATAAATTTAGATCAGTTTGTACTAGTTCTTAGAGTCATGTATTTGTTTGTTTATTGTTTTACGCCGCACTCAGCAATGTTCCAGCTATATGGCGGCGGTCTGTAAATAATCGAGTCTGGACCAGACAATCCAGTGATCAACAGCAAGAGCATCAATCTGCGCAATTGGGAACCGATGACATGTGTCAACCAAGTCAGCGAGCCTGACCACCCGATCCCGTTGGTCGCCTCTTACGACAAGTATGGGATACTGAAGGTTCATTCTAACCCGGACCTTCACGGGTCGAAGGCGGTCTGTAAATACTCCAGTCTAAACCTTACAATCCAGGGGTTGACATCATGAGCACTGATCTACGCAGTGGGGATGACCAACCGATCCCGCTTGTCGCCTCTTAAGACAAATTCTAACCGTTCACGGTTTGCAATAGAAAATATACCCCCGTGTTGGGTGAAGGCTAAAACGGCAATACTGGCTCGTCCCGCCGAAGATACTGGTTCTATTCCTTGCATATTGTTGAAATGAACATTCACTCACTCAGTCACTCGCTCACTCACTCACTCACTCACTTTTTGCTCGCTTTTTGCATCTAGGAAGATTGTGAGTTACTTACGGCGCATTTCGATTTCGTGCATGTTCCAATGAGTCCGAGAAGCCCTGGGACAATGTACTGAAACGATAACAAGTTTGTTTATATTGTTTGTTTATTGTTTAACGAGCTACTCCGCAATATTCCAGCCATATAACGGTTATCTTTAAACAATAGTCTTGACCAGAAAATCCAGTGATTGACATCACGAGCACATACATGTATGAAGAGAAATAATAATAAAAGCTTTTCAAGTTTTTCAGTATTGTGTTTAGTCTATCTTGAATCGTTTTGTTTTGTTGTTGTTTAACGCCACACTCAGCAATATTCCAATTATATGACGGCGGTCTGTGAATAATCGAGTTTGGAATAGACAATCCATTGATCAGCAGCATGAACATTGATCATCAGTACAGCGAGCCTGACCACCCAATCCCGTTAGTCGTCTCTTACGACAAGCATGGGTTGCTGAAGACTAATTCTAATCCTGATCTTCACGAGTGGAGCACAGACTGAATTTCGTGTTCATATCCATTCATTCACAAGGGTAATGATATTGCGCTTAAAACAAGGTAGACAACATGGAAATGCAATTCAAATGAATCATTATTTACTTACAGCAAAACCGATACTCCACAAGGGAACGGTTGAAATGCCCGCAACACTCACTCCAGCGAGTACGCTGTCAATATAGACTCCCGACAATGCACTGTAGATGATACCTGTTGATTAATATAGGATTGGTTATTACTAAACAATTCTGAGCGTGTCTCCGAGCGTGCACGCTCATCGCGAAAATGGTTTGGATGTACTTCAACGTTTTGCAGTAATCTTTATTAAGGTGGCTTCATGCCCCACTTTCGAACAAATAAAAGGTTTGGCTCTACCTCATTCCTCCAGAATGAATTAACTTTTATAGTTATTGTCGATGCTTCTTTTAAACTAATATTTCCAGGCGTTTCTGAAATTGGTTTTGGAACAGAAATCTGTAAATAAAAGAGACAAAACCCGTTCCACATCCATAAGATATCTAAAAGCAGAGTTGATTTACAATTCCGTCTATATCAGCAGCAGGTGTTTGTGTATCGCTATCATTTGATGATGATTCAATGTATTCGCGCCCAATCGGTGGCACCGGTTATAAACAAACGCAAAGGCTAGGCAATAGTTCAGCGGAACAACCACGGGAACGTGAAGTTCAAGACAAAATAGGATCTACACTGGACATCAGTTTTGTCACTGCTGTTTGTCGAATTTGAAATGCCCTCCACATGTGAGCCCAAAAACATTTTGAAAGCTTCATTGAGGCCTTGAATGTGGTAAGCTTGATCGCATAACTTCTGAGCTAGAGTAATATGACGCTCTTTGAAGTCTTGATAATAACAGCACGCTCAATTGGACCTAAATATTTGTTAAATGTAAACATCAAAGGCTGGAGCTGTTGAAATATTGCTCTTCAGAAAGGGAAATTTAACCATAAAAGAATAATAATGTGTCCATTTATATAGCGCCAAACTCCACGCATAGCACATTATTACCCCTGAAAACCCAAGCTGGCTGTAAGGCGCGATAGGGTTATAGTCACATGACTTATAATCTGAGTGAACAGAGGCAATTTTGAACAAACTCACTTGCCTAAGGTGAGACCACATGTATCACATTGTTTAGTGCTAGGAACGCTCAGGAGTCAATCTGCCAAACACGGCCACCCATCCAATGACTCTCCGCCCCCGACGTTGCTTAACTTCACCTGGTTTGTGACCTAAACTCAGTGCACAGGACCACTGTGTGTCAGTTTAAGTTTAAGCACTCTGAATCTTTATGGATAGATCTAAATCTGAAACACATGAGGGGTCTCACCGGTCTCTTTTATTTCAAGTTCAGATGGGTTAATCAGTGGAAGGGGAGTGTTATTTTGATAGTTATCCAATGATAAAAGATCATCGATAAATCTGAACCTAAGTTTATACTTCTTGGAGAAATCACGTTGCTCTGATTTTGCCAACCCGAGCAGAAACTCGCACTCATGCATAAACAGATTCTCAATTAGGGGCCACAGCTGGTATCTGTGGGGTGCCTTCTTCTCATCTAAATGTTTCAACCCCACATTTGCGTAACAGTTACCAATGAGGAGTGAGTGGTTTAATTTTACATCGCTTTCAGAAATATTCCAGAAACATCACAACGGGGGACACCAGAAATGGGCTTAACATATTGTACCCATGTGGGGAATCGGACCCGGGTCTTTAACGTGACGAGCGAACGTTACCGATGAGGAAGTCCAATATTTTGCATATTGTTTTGTCCCTATACTTAAAATACTTCATGAAGTTCTGAAGATAGATATGAAACTAAATCAATGCTCACCATTTCCATTAAACTTCAAATAAGTTTTTTGTTTAGGTTTGCAACGAGGGATGGTAGTGTACAAAGTTGACAAATCATGTTTATTTGTAATATCACCTTAGTTACCTTATACTCAATGTGCAAGCTTTGTTTCAGAGTATGAGCTAAAATTGTACAGCACAATGGTAATATTGAGTCACATGAGTGAGTGAGTTCAGTTTTACACCGCTTTTAGCAATATTCCAGCTCTATTACGGCGGAGGACACCATAAATGGGCATTGTACCAATGTGTGGAATCGAACCCGGGTCGTCGGCGTGACGAGCGAATACTTTAACCACTAGACTACCCCGTCACCCCTATTGAGCTAAGGAGCAATGATACCATAATAATGTTCATGAACAGATTCACACAATTCATGTAATATGTCGACAGGGAACAGTAAAACAACAAGAGTATCACCAAGTCATATATACTCACGGGTATGTGAATATAACAGTACCCAACAATACAATATTAGATATATTATTGGGCTATAGATTATCAACAACCAAAGTTATATCCCAACACAAGGGACCATGGAACTGACGGCACACATACTACCTACATGACACCCAAGCAGGATTATACCCATCTTTACTCGATGACGATCCTGTGAAAAAATAGTGAAGAAATATTCTAAATCTAATATTCTGACATTTATATCAATACTTTAAATGACGGGGAACCTATCGCGAACCTATCGATATTCAGTTGTCCATTCATAAAATCTGCTTTGATCTGTTCAATTGACGTTTTATGTTACAATCCCTCTATAAATTACAATTCTTATATTATAGTATAACCTACTAACGAGGTCGAGCTGTACTACAGTCTAACACTGCATTGCTGTACAACCTACTAACGAGGTCGAACTGTACCACATGCTAACACTGCACTGCTGTACAACCTACTAACGAGGTCGAACTGTACTACAGGCTAACACTGCACTGCTGTACAACCTACTAACGAGGTCGAACTGTACTAAAGGCTGACACTGCACTGTTGTACAACCTACTAACGAGGTCGAACTGTACTACAGTCTAACACTGCACTGCTGTACAACCTCCTAACGAGGTCGAGCTGTACTACAACGAGGTCGAGCTGTAACTAACACTGCACTGCTGTACAACCTACTAACGAGGTCAGAGCTGTACTACAGAGCTACTACACTGCACTGCTGTACAACCTACTAACGAGGTCGAGCTGTACTACAGACACTGCTGCACACCTACTAACGAGGTCACTGTACTACAGGCTAACACTGCACTGCTGTACAACCTACTAACGAGGTCGAACTGTACTACAGTCTAACACTGCACTGCTGCACAACCTACTAACGAGGTCGAACTGTACTACAGACTAACACTGCACTGCTGTACAACCTACTAACGAGGTCGAACTGTACTACAGGCTAACACTGCACTGCTGTACAACCTACTAACGAGGTCGAACTGTACTACAGTCTAACACTGCACTGCTGTACAACCTACTAACGAGGTCGAACTGTACTACAGTCTAACACTGCACTGCTGTACAACCTCCTAACGAGGTCGAGCTGTACTACAGTCAGACACTGCACTGCTGTACAACCTCCTAACGAGGTCGAGCTGTACTACAGGCTAACACTGCACTGCTGTGCTAAAACTGGTGAGATTGAGAAACATAACAGGCTTACTGACAATTGTGAAAACGTCCAAACCATATACTGATTGCCAGAGCGTGACTGTTATACAGATTTAGATCGTACGCCACATAACAACCTGTCGTTATATTTCAAATTAACGTTAGTGTACCTTATGCCAACCACAAACTATGAACTATGCAATAACGTGGTCTTGTAAAACACTTTAACTTAAACCAAGGTCGGAGTTTTCTTCAGAGACAGGATCCTCTTACTGTGTCACAGATAAACATGTTACCTTTCGGTGCATAACGACATGGCGTAGCACAGACTCGTGGTGAACAATTGAACTACTACTTGAAAACGACGCCTCCACGTACTCACCACACGCTATAACTAATCCCGATATGACTCCATTGGCGATGTTAACTCCCCGCTTTTCTTCGTCAGCCATCTTGGTGTTGTGCTGTCCTATATTTTACATACTAGTCAAAACGTTTAGCAATCGCCCCTTTCTTCTTTTCATCAATGTCCTGTTCCGCCCATGTTTCACAATACTGCCCGATCGTGTTCACCGTTGCGTGATGTAAGGTAACTACTAGTTTGAGTATTCGGAAGACCTGGCTTTGTTGAGCAATATATACAGTTTGTTCAGCGAGAGATAGTCTCGGGTATATCAGGTTGTGTAGACGGGCTCGGGTAATGTTCTTAGAATACGCTGTGAATGTTACCGTTGTGACACGTGCGTCACTGATACTTGTAAATAATGCATGGCAAGACCTTGTATGTATTGTTATCAAGTAATTGGTTCATGGAGTTGCGGGGCGCCACAGGCCCGGGTTTGACGCTCCTGGATTGCTCTCAAGTATTCAACGGCGGTGGGATAGCCTGGTGGTTGAAGCGTCTAATCGTTACGCCACAGGTCCGGGTTTGACGCTCCTGGATTGCTCTCAAGTATTCAACGGCGGTGGGATAGCCTGGTGGTTGAAGCGTCTGCTCGTCACGCCACAGGCCCGGGTTTGATGCTCCTGGATTGCTCTCAAGTATTCAACGGCGGTGGGATAGCCTGGTGGTTGAAGCGTCTGCTCGTCACGCCACAGGTTCGGGTTTGACGCTCCTGGATTGCTCTCAAAGTATTCAACGGCGGTGGGATAGCCTGGTGGTTGAAGCGTCTAATCGTCACGCCACAGGTCCGGGTTTGACGCTCCTGGATTGCTCTCAAGTATTCAACGGCGGTGGGATAGCCTGGTGGTTGAAGCGTCTGCTCGTCACGCCACAGGCCGGGTTTGACGCTCCTGGATTGCTCTCAAGTATTCAACGGCGGTGGGATAGCCTGGTGGTTGAAGCGTCTGCTCGTCACGCCACAGGCCCGGGTTCGATGCTCCTGGATTGCTCTCAAGTATTCAGGGATGGTGGAATAGCCTTGCGGTTAAGCGTTTGCTCGTCACAAAAGGCCCGGGTTCGACTCTCTTGGATTGCTTGCAAGTATTCAACGGCGGTGGGGTAGCCAAGTAGTTAAAGCGTTCGCTCAGCACAGTAAAGGACCTTTTTCGATTCCACTGAATTGTTGTCAAGTACTCAACGGCGGTGGGGTAGCCAGGTGGTTAAAGCGTTCGCTCGTCACACCAAAGGACCGGGTTAGATTCCCCCGAATTGTTATCAAGTACTCAGGGGCGGTGGGGTAGCCTAGTGGGTAAGGCGTTCGCTCGTCACACCAAAGGAACGGGTTCGATTCACATGGATTGCTCTCAAGTACTCAGGGGCGGTGAAGTAGTCTAGTGGGTAAGGCGTTCGCTCATCACACCAAAGGAACGGGTTCGATTCACAGGATTGAACGGGTGGGGTAGTCTAGTGGGTATTCGCTCATCACACCAAAGGAACGGGTTCGATTCACATAGATTGTTCTCAAGTACTCAGGGACGGTGGGGTAGTCTAGTGGGTAAGGCGTTCGCTCATCACACCAAAGGAACGGGTTCGATTCACATAGATTGTTCTCAAGTACTCAGGGACGATGGGGTAGCCTAGTGGGTAAAGCGTTCGCTCGTCACGCCAAAGGCCCGGGTGACATGTATCAACCATATCAGCGAGCCTGACCACCCCACCCGTTAATCGCCTCGTACGGCGACGATTATACAATACATACATTTTGCGGCCAAATACAAACAACTAGATCATCACCATGTTACGTATGTAACTAGACTGAGTTTGGTTTTACGCCGTTTTTAGCAATATTCCAGCAAATCGGGCTATATACACCAGGGACTGTTGGTACATTATACCCATGGCATTCGAACCCGGGTCTTCGTTGCCGACGAGCCAAGGTTTAACCACTAGGTTAAAGATGACCGCCCCTCACCATGATATCGTAAACTAGTATGTTTGACCTAAAGAATACGGTTATTTACGATACAATAAAACGGGCTATATATCAGGGACTGCGATATGACTCAATTTATGACTATCTTGCAGTTATAAACCCAACTTGTATCGTAAAACATCTTGACTGTGTTTGCAACTGGTGTGGTTCAGGGTCCACATTCTATGTTGAAGTTATAAACAACGTTGGTCATGGTGGAGAGTCACGTTGGTCACATGGGCTAAAGGAAAATTATTCAGGTACAGAGTATGATAACGACTGTTTGATAGGAGCGTTGAGAACAAACATGACTAAAATCAGTCTAAGTAAACTTAGGCTCAGTATTATTCGTTACACTGCTATACTGAGTCTAACAAACCCTATAGTAGCAGATCGAGTCAGCTAACATTTTGAATTGACCAATCAGAACACAGCTTAAGCTTACCAAATCGCGACAGTTAACATTCGTACATACCGTTTGAACCTTTACCTCAAACACTTGAAAGATTCCGAATGCTATTTTCCGCACAATCGCTTCCGAGTGATACACGTGCAGGACGCATGTGTGGACACAAGGGGGCGTTCAGGTCAGTACATGGTGACACCACAAGTTCTGCAAGTGTTTGAGGATGTTGGTGACGTTTACGGACGCGTCCATCATGTTCATCCCATAGATATCGGGTTCAGATCAGGCGATTTGGAAGGCCAGGGAAGGACATTGACGTTTGCATTGGCGCAATAGGCACCTGTTACAAAAGCTTTGTGGGGTCTAGTGTTGTGTTGAAACAGATCCCTCTGGCTGTAGAAAAGTGGGAGGGGGTGTGGTTCCAGGATGTTGTCGATGTAGCGATTTGCTGAAGATGGCCTTGAACCACCACTAGCTCTGATCTACCCCTGTAGGACATGTTTCCCCACACGATGACGCTATCTCCACCACATCTGTCCACCTGTCGAACGCAGTTCTGCGCAAAACGTTCGTGTTGACGTCAATAGACACGTTGCCTCCCTCCCCAAGGAGGAAACGCGATTCATCGCTAAGCCAAACGTGTCGCCAATTCCCCAGGTTCCAAGCCTGTACCCTGTTGCAACAGTAGACACGTCGTTGTCGGTGTAGTCGTGTCAGGACAGGTCCAAATTGTGGTCGATATGCTCGAATTCCCACTTCTCCCTTCTTATGGTTTGGTAAGAAATTCTTCGAAGACCAGGCACCTGTCCTGCAGTGCCCGTTGCTGTAGCAAATCGGTGACGTAGGTGAAACACCCGGATGAATCAGTCCTGAGCAGGAGTGGTCACTCTTGGTCTTTCACTTCTGGGACGATCTTGGGTCGAAATGAAGCGGGTATATCGATGCCATAATCGCGATATGGTGCTGTGGTGGACGTTGAAGTGCCCTGCAACAACAGACTGGGACTCCACTGCTTCCAAACGTCCAAGTAGGTCAGTATTTCGGTCAGTAGCATTCAATCAGGGCATTTTTTGTCTTCGTTTACGTCGAACATTTCGTAATGAAATGATGAATTTGGTTTGGCTTTTTACAGTCGACATAACTTACCATGTTTCCGACACATTGAACGTAAAGCATGGAAAACAATTTCTGCATGCACTTTTCATCGTTTTCATTTTTTTATAACAAAGGTTTACAAACACATTTTGGGATGCGTTTGCGCGCTATACACAACAACCACGACATGATTAACGGGATTCAAACATAGGAATGGCCTTAATGACGACTGTTGTCATTTTTTGAAGATATATTTTGCTAGTTCAATACAGACGTTACGTTTGTTGCTTGAAAATAATAAACACATTTTCCCAAGAGTTGGGAACATATAATATTAGTATGAAATATGACTGGAGCAAATCTGAATAAAGTGGCACGCTAAACAAAATTGGAATTTATCCTCAACGATAATACACAATAGGCACAGCCGTTCTTGTCTTGGTATTTTGTGATGTCTGCCCGTTCCTACGAGAAGACTGTGGTCAGAGGTATTGAATCTCAATGTCGATACATCTTTGTTTGTAATCCTGTACGAATAAATCAACACTTCCAACACATTGTTGAATAGTAGCCTCTGCAAATCCATGAGAAAAGAGCAACGATTTTATATTAAAAGCCCAGCAAACACCACGATTTTCTCCTCTTTTGTATTGGAAGATGCATGTTTTACTGAATATTGTATAACAGTCTTGTGACATTAGTCTTAATCTAACGATCTTTAAATAATGAGATAATTTAACAGATGTTCTAGTCAAAACCACTTTTGCGAAGATATTTGGTGTATTTTTATGTAATCCCATGGAGAGTTAACCTACCGGGATTAGTCAAATGACTTTTAATCTTGTGACGCCTCACAAGGTGCTTGGTTTAACCGGGGAGAAAGGTCTGTGCCTGCGCATACTTTATCCTTAGCGCCACCGGTTTATATCAGACGCTCTACAAATGTATATTTAGTGTTTCCCCCAGGATCCAAAAAGTGCCAAGATTTCCAAGTATACTATCCAAAAAAAGAAACGCATAGGTCAGAAATCTGTTGCGGAAATGTTATATTTTCAACTGTATAACTCGTCCACAAATAGACTTTAGTACATGAATTTTTACATCAGTTTAGAAGAAGGAAATGTCTATACAACCAAGTGGATAATTTTAGATAACGGAGACGATGAGCGCGATGGTGACGACGTAGCACGGTCCCGACGTCGGGTCTCCTGGTTCTCAGTCCAATCTCTCTCAACCTGTTCCGTACAGTTTGACCAGATATCCTCCGAAGTCAGATGTACCTATCTTGGGCTGCAGTGGTGACTCGATGTCTTCCCTTACGGGGACGGTCATTTGTTATACCTGTTTGGTTGTAACGAACTGCAAGCAGTGATATCGTGCTTATACTAACATTTAGACGCCTAGCAACAGAAAATTGGTAATCTCCAGCGTGCATTCTTTCAATGGCGATGTTCAGTGTCGCGGCGTCAAGACGTGGCGTAGTGATTTGACCTTGAAACTCCTTCAAAACGAATGCCGATTTCCGAAAGTAATCAGGATTTTTATAGCCAGACAGTGCATGCTCTTTGCTGCACAATTTCAATTGGGAGGTGATTTCTGTTGCGTTGTGGCGATGCCTTTTTAATCTTTGTAAGAAATCTCATCAAAATCAACATTTTCAGGTAAAGTCGATTATTTACTTGTGCAATTTTGTAAAATCATGTCAACAACACTTTTGTTACATATTTTGACGATTGTTTGAACACAACAGGTAATTAATAGATTCTGAAAAATACAAAACGCCTATGCGTATCTTTTTTGGGGGGATAGTATATTATGTTTAGTTCTTA